CTTTATCAAAAGTGTTTCTCTTCCATGGGTTCTCCTCTTTCTAATAAAACTTCCCACTTAAGCTCTGTCTGCCTGGCATGTTTGTTATTTAGCCGTGCCTCTGCCTCCCAAGGGCTGGCATTAAAGGTGTAAGCTATCACACCTAGCTCTAGTTTTTAATTTTTAAGACATTTTAATTCATTTTACTTAGTGTAGCATGTGTGTGTCCTCGCAAAGATGTGCACAGGCCCCCACTAAGCATGTGGTCAGAGTACAACTTCTGCCTCAGTCAACCTCCCCACCATGAAATCCACCAAGGTTCCCCTTGCACTTTATCGTAACACTCAGACTTTATCAAAAGTGTTTCTCTTCCATGGGTTCCACAGAAAGCAACGAGTCATCTGGCTCTAACTGCTCATCCCAAGGCCCCTGCTCCATCCTCCCACTCTAGTAAGATCAGGTGATGACGAACCTATGGGAGATAACTGAATTTGTACACAGAAGATAAGATGAGAAGGGTTGCTCTGGCAGCAATCCGAGAGCGGTAACACATATGTGAGTTAATGATAGGGACTGATGTTTATTGTCTGGGACACACAAGGCTCCCTAGACATACACTTCATTAGACGACCACACACGTGCCATGAGATGAGAAGCATTGTGACCCCATCGTAATGGAGAAGGAAGACCATGAGGTTAGCTCCCATCCCCAGTCTTCATAATAATGTTAGAGCTAGCCCATGAACCCAAACCATTCTGAGCCATATCTCACCCTCTGGGGCCCTGCCCTCGGGTTCCTTAAACATCCAGCAGGATGCCTTCCTGCCCATGTACAGTCTATTGTGAGCACTTCCCATCCACGGCAATGCCTGTGCCCTGCAGGGTACAAATTCACCAGTGCCCCTGGGCTCCCCCAAGGCCCACCCACACATTCCTTGCTTCTGCAGGATCCTGCATCCAATCAAGCCTCAGAATCCTGCCACATCCCGTCTCTGTTTCTGTACTTGCTCTGGGCTGTCCAAACCCATCTGCCATCTTCCCTAACGATTGGACCTCATATCATAGCCAACCCTTTGTGTAAACAGTAGTGAAAAGAATGAGCTCCTTGCATAGCACTTGGCCTGCATTTCAGAATATTTCCCTCAGAGCTATGTGGAGGGCTGGCAAGATGGTACAGCAGACAAGAGTGCTTGCAGCTAAGCCTGAGGAACAGAGTTCAATCCCGGGTCCCACAGAGTAAAAAGAGGGAGCTGACTCCTATAAGTTGTCCTCTGGCTTCCACATATATGTGTGTGTGGATGTATATATGCATATATGAATATAGATACTTGAAAAATCTAGGCTGGTGTGGTGACCCAGCACTCTAGAAGCAGAGGCAAGTGGATCACTGTAAATTTAAAGCCAACCTGGTCTACACCAAATGCCAGGCCAGCCAGGGCTACACAATGAGACCCTATTTCTAAAAACAAACAAGACAAAATCTAAAAAACAAACAAACAAACAAAAAATACTTTTAAAAGGTAAAAAGAAACGGACTTCCTTCCTAGGCAGAAAAGAAAGCTAAAAGTTAAAAGCAGTTGTATTCCACTGGGATGGCCTAAGCCAGTGCTCAGTAAGAACTGTTTCTTATGGTATTTCCCAGGCTCAGAGAGGCCTGGCAGAAGCAGTGACAGGCCTGGAGATGTCCCACAAGTAACGCCATGAGATGAAATGGCACCTCCCTTCACAGTCCGAGTGTTCCTTTGCGACCTTTATCTTCAGATTTGATCCTTCTCGGCTCTGCAGGTTCACTGAGGCACATTTGGTTCAGCACGCCATTATAAAGTTCCACCAGGTACATTTAACCAAGACTTGCCTAGCTCCTCACACCTCTTCGGGGCTCAGTCAAGGCACTGACCAGCTGCCACAACAGAGCACCCCAGTTCCTCAACAAGCAACAAAAGGAGGATGCCCCAGAGCTCCTAGAACCTCTCAATCTGTTCTCAGCAGGTTCATTAATATTCTTTCCCCTCATAACCAGAGAAAGTCTTCTCTGTTCTTTGTTACGCTTTTTTGTAATTATTCACTCCCTGCAAGGCAGAGAAGCTTACACACAAGGAAAGTCCCCCTTCTTCAGCGTTTGGCCCCTCAGTAAAGCTCTGCACTGACCTGGGCGTGGGCCGAAGCTGGGTGCTAACGTGGACACGGTGAACCTCTTGAAGGGGCCTGTGGCTCAGTTCATAGGAAGGCTGTTCCAGGAAGAACAGAGGCCACACTAGGGGAAGTGGAGCCAGTGTTGGCCCTGCCCTACTCCTGGCCAGCTGTGTGGCCCTGATAGGAGCCCGCTTTTCCCCTAGCTGGGGCCAAACCATGTTCAGCAAATCTTCCCCTGGCCAGTTAGCTTGGGCCATCTTCCTTGGGCAGGGAAGGAAGGAGTGAAGACAGCTTGCTCCTTCTAAGGAGTCCTTGATGACCTCTCAGGGTCAAGTGGAAGCCCTTTTAGTCAGCACACCAGTCCTTGAGCCTGCTGTGGCCCCTCCCTCCCTCCCTCCCTCCCTCCCTCCCTCCCTCCCAA